GGCCCGCATGTGCAGCGTTTGTATTGTAAATTTGCGTTGTTCAATCCTATCACTTGCTGTAAAACCGGAAGAGTAGTGTATTTACTTTCACACTCGGGGGAGGACTGCTCATTACCATAACTTCGTGCAACATATATGCAGTTATCTTACCAATGAAGACATGTTACTACGAAGTTCTCGGAGTTGAACGGAGTTGCTCGGCAGACGACATCAAAAAGGCGTAATAGTCTCCGCCCCTGTGAGTGCACTTGGGAATTGCCAGTGCCCAGCACTTCATAACAAACACAAAATTACCTTTCCAAACAAGAGTGAAATCGAATCCAGCGGGAATTTTAAACTTCTTCGAATCGCGTCTTCAGATATCGCAAACTCGCTTTGAAATGGCATCCAGATAAGAATCAGAACTCTGATGACGCAACAAAGGTAGATCCATTCAATGCTACAGCACTTCTGCGAGGGCCTATTCTCATGCAATCCCTGCCTAAAATCTTCGCTGTGCGCTCATCAGATGTTCCAACTCATAACAGAAGCCAACGAAGTCCTCAGTGATCCACAGGAGCGCGCGTGGTATGATGATCATCGGGACCAAATCTTGCGGGGTAACGACGCCTTTGATACGGACGAGGAGTCCAAGCAAGAGGCCGGTAGTATCTCGGGAAAGGTTATGCAGGTTTAATATAATGGAGTTTTACGTGAAGTGGCGTAATGCTCCGTGGAAGACGCGATATTCCGGGTAGACTGTAGTAGTCGTGAAATATATTCTTCACTAGTGTTTTTCATTTCACGGCTCGTGAAACTCCAATGTTTAATGGAGTTAAACTGAGAGTCGACTCTGAAATTGATTATCAATCGTTAAATCTGGTACTGGATTTAATTCTCACGTTGAACACACTCTTAGGCAATCCTAGTAGCGATGAGAGTTGCCTCTGATAGTCGCATTGATCGTCGGCCTTGCGATATAAACAATCTTTCTACTTACTACATGCCCAAGTTGTTGTTCGTATTGGTAAAATTGGTTTCAATTTCTTGTGCCAAAATTGACCCAGGCCTCCAATTTCGCATTCGAATTCGAGAATATGAGGAAGAACTTCTTTTAAACAGAACTTGAGATGGCTTAGAGTTTCAGCCGTGATATGAAAAAAAACACTGGTGAAGAATATATATTTCACAACTACTGCATATCACCGCGAATATCGCGTTT